GGACAGGAAGGAAGACCAAATATATATCTCAAAATATCACACTACTGTCAGAAAATGTGACAATACATTTTTTTAATTTAAAAAAAAATCACAGTAATATAGATGTAAATTCTTTTTTAGCTTACCTCCCCCAGACAAGCAAATGAACAAAATATCCGTGCATCCTTGCGTAGAAATCATTTTTAATGGCCACATAATATTCCACTATCCAGCAGGTATACTTCTAGCAAGGTTCCTTCTGTGGATTCCCAGCTCCCGATGAAGTAGAGATACAGGGAAACGAGTATGTGTGAGGTTAGTGAACACAGCAGTACTGGGGCATCTAGCGCAGGGCAGGGGTTTGTAAGCCGTGGCCCTCTGCTTGTTTATATCAATAAAGTTTTATTGGCACACAGGCATGTTCATTCATTTATGGATTATCTGTGGCTGCTACAACAGCAGAGTTGAGTGGATACAGCGAAGACCATCTGGCCAGTGAAGCCAAAAATATTTATTCCCTGGAAGAGATATTCCCTGTCCTGGGAGAGCTTGCTAAGTCAATGCAGGAAACATGAAAAACAGATGAGAAGAGGTCAGCTCGGGCGGCACTTACTGGTCTGCAGCCTGGTGTGGATTCATCTATGACTCTGAGATTGTTTCTGTGCTCGCAAAGGGAAGAAAATTCCCTGGAAAGTGTATCTACCCAGGGGAGGGAGGGCTGTGTCTGAAGTCCTTTTCTTTCTTTCAGGTACGAAGAGGAAAGACTCAAGGCCAGAAGAGAGAGGTGTGTGCAGAGTGGCCTCTGTCAGGGCTGAGCCAGGGCTGGCGGCTCAACTGGGCTGTCATTTGGGGGGGTGGCCCGGTGGCTTCCAATGGGCAGGGAATGCCCCATGCAGAGCTCGGGACTCTGCCTGTCAAGCCAGGGCTTTAGAGTCAGATCTGGGTTTGAATTCTGGCTCCATCATTTAGTTGCAGGGCAGGGTGACATTAAGCAAGTAAAAACTCACAACCACCTTGGAAGTTATTGTGAAAAACTCTGGGACATTGTAACCCCCGTGGATAAAAGGGGCCCAGACTTCATGCTCAGTAAAGGATAATAATGGTCATTATAATAATATTAAGTTCTCCCTTTACAGAATGAACACAAGCCTGATATTCAGCGCTGGCGCATAAATGCACGTGCGCTAACGTACTGACTCGGTTTTCATTGGAGGTGTAATCATTAGCAACACTCACAGGATTTCAGGACTATTCCAGCCCTTCCCAGTTGTGGAGATCTTATACCACCTGCTGGATACTTTGCAGCTCCCATGAGAGCTGGGCAGGGCGAGGATTCCTACAAACATCTTACATCCTGGGAATTTGAGGCTCAGAGAGGGCAAGGCACCTGCCCAAGGCCACACAGCGAGTCCATAAAAGATGTAGGATTCCTGGGATTCCCCCTGCCACCTGTCCTCTCCTTCCTTCTACTTTTCCTCTTTCCTCCCATCTTCTGTCTTTTTTCAAAATTGTGATTAAATACACATGACTTAAAATTTACCATCTAAACCATGGTAAGTTATAGTTCAGTGGCATTAAGTACATTCTTATTGCTTTGCAGCCATCCCCACCATCCAGAACACTCTCCTCCCAATCCGAAACTGTCCCCATTAAACATTCACTCCCATCCCCCTCCCCAGCCCCTGGCACCCCCTATTCTACTTTAGCTATTGTGAATCATGCTGGGAACATGGGTGAGCAAGAATCTCTCTGAGTCCCTGCTTTCAACACTTTTGGGTAGATACCTAGAAGCGGAATTGCTGGATCACATGGCAATTGTGTCTAATTGTTTGAGAAGCTGTCAGGCCATTTTCTACTGCAGCTGCACCGCGTCACGTTCCCACCGTCAACAGTGCACGAGGGCGGATGGATTTCCCCACCTCCTCGCCCACCCTTATTATTTTCTGTTTTTAGGACAGTAGCCATCCTTGTCACCTCTCCCAGGGTGACAGAGACACAAAGGATTACTCAAAGCCCATTTCTCCAGAGCAGTGAGAGACCCAGAAGGAGTTAATCCCAGGAAACGACTTCTTCAAGGGAGAGGAATTCCTAGGAAATAACCCTGAATCAGGGTTTTCTCTCAGTCTTTATTGTTCAGGCAAGAAAGTTACAGAAAAGGAACACAGGTGGTTACAAAAGGAACAACAAAATAATTGTCATGGCAACACTTAGTTGCCTAAGAAACTTGAAGAAACAACCAGAGGCAGGAGGTGGAACACCCCCAGCCAACAACCGTGAGGTCTGTAGCTCACATATTAGAGGCGGCATCTTTGCTGTGTACAGTGTTTTTTATCTACAGCAGACTTTAGTCCTGGGAAAGTTTTCTGTTTTTCCCAAGCTTAGCTTTTCTGTGTGCAACAGGCCCTGTGCGATACGCTTGCTTTATTAACGTTGGTATCCTCCACGCGTCCTAACGGGTGTGAGTTCATAAGGTCTGAACTTTCTTCTTTCTTTTTTCCCCTTGTAAAGCTAGGTGACCACGCTAGTTGTCGGGCTCTTTTACCAGCTGGTGATCCTGTACCGACTGGGCCGATGGTTGAGCTAGGGCTGGATCTGGAGCTCCCAGACCCCTCAAGCCCATTCACAGACTGGGTCACAAACCCTTCATATGCCAGGCTGGGTCACCAGACCCCTTCATGCAGGTCTATGAGCTAGGTAACTGGCCAAAAGGTCCCTGGAGCCAGAGGTTGGAAAGCGTGGCTGTGCCCGGCGAATGCCCAAGGCAGAGGCCTGCCCACCTGCTCCACTCAAACTCCTCTCTCTCTCTCTAGGAAAAACACAAGAACAGCAACAAAACTTAAAAAGATACATTGGCGCACATGCGCACTAACTCCACACACACACACACACACACACAATTTGCTTACAAAGGATGCTGAACCACACCCGACTGGACCCGAGGGGAGGGCCCTGACCAAACTATTCTGTTTTCCCAACACCCCTCCCTCCCTCCCTCCCTCCCTCTCTCTCTCTCTCCTTTCCTTCTGAGTTGTATCCCTCCCACCTACCCAGGCTTGGCTTAGAGATGAACATGACAGCAGGACACCTGTCCCTCTGAAACTGCTGAAACTTACTGGACGACAGCATCCGTCTAATAAGTGCATAAATGCATCTCCAAGGAGCAGCTAATGCTTTCCAGGAATGGTTCAGGCGGGGTCTTTCCTCCTCTCCTGGCCGCCTCATGCTGAGGCCTCACAGCAGGCTTCATCTTCATTAACCCTAAAAGATCACTTCTCTACCATCCCAGACCGCAATGGGGCCATCTCCACCCTCCCGACCCAAAACATCCCAGGGGCGCAAAACCACCTTCAAACTGCTCCCAGGCCAGCAAGACCCATGGGAGCCGAGAGCCCCTGGGCTCAGCTCGGCTGGTCACCCCTGGTCACTTCCCTCTCTCTGTCCACAGCGTGAGGCCCCAGCCAGAGTTTGTCCTGCCCAGGTCAGAAGAGAAGCCAGAGGCGGCACCGGCAGAGCACAGGTAAGTGTCCAGGTGACCACGGGGCCAGAGTGGACACCCACCGAGCGCTGCCCAGTCCCCAGGGAGAGGCTGGAGAGGAAGACGGGCCTCCGTGAGGGACAGAAAATAGAGCTAGGCCATCGTGCTGCCTTTGAGTAAGGCGGGTTATGCAAACTGTGATTCCCACGTCAGTGCTGTTGATTCCAGCCAAATCCAGCCAACCCATGGAGCCCACAGCCAGAAGGTTCAGGGGCTTCTGAGGACCGTGTTCCTGGGGCTGATCCATGTCACCAGGCTTTTTCCAGAAGGGGCTGTGCTCACACTGGCCCCTGAGGGCCCACACGAGCCAAAATCAGAGTGTTGGGGCAGGAGGGAGAACAGGGTGTCCCCAAGCAGCGTGAGAGGAAAAGGGTATTAAGTCACGGGCTCCCCGCAAACCTCCATCTTCAGCCAGAAAGACTCAATTTTTTTTTTTTTTTAAAGATGACCAGTAAGGGGATCTTAACCCTTGACTTGGTGTTGTCAGCACCACGCTCAGCCAGTGAGCGAACCGGCCATCCCTATATGGGATCCGAACCCATGGCCTTGGTGTTATCAGCACCACACTCTCCCGAGTGAGCCACGGGCCGGTCCTGAAAGGACTCAAATTTTAAAAGCACCTGCTCCCAGCCGGACAGTGTGGCCATCTCAGTCCCACCTTTCCTTAACTCTGACCTCAGTCACGTCCACGACTACTCTGGGACTCAGTGTTGCCATCTGTAAAGTGGGCATGATGAGGATTGAATGAGGGAATCCATGTTCACGCTCATAGCGTCTTAAATCGGGTCTGAGCCCACAGAAATGTCCGATCAAGGTTATCAGCCTGTTATCATAATGAGGAAATGAGAAAATGGATATAAAACTCCGCTGTAAATATTTGCTCAACACCTGGTCACTCCTCTGCCCACCCCGAGCTGTCCCACAGGGGGGCTGCTTGCATGGGTGGCTACTTCAATTGAAGTGAATTAACAGTCAGATTTTAAAATTAGCTCCTCGGCCACATTGGCCCCATTTGGGGAACTCAGCGTGCGGCCGACGGCTCCCATATGGGGCAGCACAGCTGCGGAACAGGAACGTTGTTGGAGAAAGTTCTGCTGGACAGCGGGGCTCCGGCCACCTTCCCTCCCCTGGTTATCTCACTTTTTAAATTTTTTAATGGAGTTGAACATCGTGTAACACAGAATGAACCCTTTGGCCCATTTAGTTCATTCACAATATGATGCAACCATCACCCCTATGGATTCCAGAACATTCCATCACCCCAAAAGGAAGCGCTTACCCATGAAGCAGTTGCTCTTCATTCCCTACTTCCCCCTACCCTGCTTATTTTCATTCTTTAAGTTAAATCCAGCAAGTATCGATTAAAGTCCTTTCGTGACTCTCCCTGGGACGTGCACACCAGCCCCGCACGACTCCGGCCTTCTCCCTCCACAGCAGGGAGCCCCAGTTGCCTGTCTCTCCTGCGTCTGCCTCCTACGTCGGAGCTTTGTCATACCAGCCTAGGCCAGTTATGCCTCTCCTCTTGCCCTGGGAGCTCCCTGAGGGCAGTGACTCCTCTAGGAATGGTCCCTTACTTCCTCTCCCCACATCTAGCACAGGCTAAGTGCAGGAGTCCTGGGAACAGGGAGGGTGACCTCGTACCATTTCCTGCATACTTTACATCACCTGAGAGCTGGGCAGGGCGAGGATTCCTACCAGCATCTTACATCCTTGGGAATTTGAGGCTCAGAGAGGGCAAGGCACCTGCCCAAGGCCACACAGCAAGTCCGTGAGAGACCAAGTTCAGCTCTTGGGTGAAGGTTCCAGGAAGAGACCTTTGGATAAGTCCCAGGAAATAGATTCAGTCTCCCCAAGCCCAGTGGACCCTGAGCAGCATTTGCAGTTTCATGCTGTGTCAACGAATAGGCCTCAGCTGATTTCCTTACAACTGCCTGTCCCAGCTCATTTGTTACACAGCAGGTGTGTGCTGACACCTGCTTTGTGCCAGACCAGGATGAAGCAGCATTGGCCCTCATGGGGCTCACGGCCTTGGCCAATGGTGGAAAATGCCCAGGCTCCAAAAAATAGGCAAATAATGCCAAAATGCCTTCTCTTTCCCATAGGTCTTCTCTGGTCACAGAAGATCAGGAAACGAGGTGGGTTTAACAGAGGATGGTCTTAGTGGACCCTAAACCTCAGACAGCTGCCCCATGACTTATTGCAGGTGGGGGTACTGCACTGGGGAGTCAGAGAGGAGACAGTTATTCTGCGCAACCCCAGGGGCACCACTGCATAGACTAGGATGCAGATAAAGCCCTAGAGCTGTGCAGCATGGAAGCCCTGAATGAGACACCCACATACAGCCAGTCCCCCCAAAGCCCAGGATATAAGTCAGAAAAGGGTGGACCAGCCCCCTGCAGCCTGTCTCGAGTTCTCTGCCTGGTTCTGGATGCCACGAAATGCCTTCCTGTGTGTCAGGGGTTCCCAAGACCACCCTCAGGTTCAGTGGTGTACTAGAAGGACTCACTGAACTCAGCAAACCTGTGATACTCATGGTTATGGTTTATCACCGTGGAAAGTTGCAAATGAGAATCAGCAAAGGGACGAGGTGCAAGGGGCAGTGTCCAGGAGAGACCAGGTAGCAGTTTCTGGGTGTCCTCTCCCAGTGGAGTTGTGTGACAGCCCTTAATTCTCCCAGCTGCGATATGCAACAATACACAAGAAGTGCTGCCAACCAGGGAAGCTCACCTGAGCCTTGTTGTCCAGGGTTTTTATTGAGGGAATTCATCCACCCACCCAGCCACTCATCCATCCATCCATCCATCCATCCATCCATCCACTCATCCACCCACCCGCCCATCCACCCATCCATCCACCTGTCCGTCCATCCATCCACTTGTCCACCCACCCGCCCATCCACCCATCCATCCACCTGTCCATCCATCCACCCACCATTCATCCATCCATCTATTCGTCCATCCAGTCATCTACCCACCCATCCATCCACCCACCCAGCCACTCCTCCATCCATCCATCCATCCACCCATCCACCCATCCATCCGTCCACCCACTTACCCTTCCACCCATAAGCTTACTCACCCATCCATTTATCTGTCCATGTACCCACCCACCCATCCATCCATCCAACCATGTGAATGTGGCCGACCATCCACATGGTTAATCTTAGTCTGTAGCCCCTCCAAAGGTCTAGCTGATACCATGTGATCAAAGCTCCCACCCTAAATCACATTGTTATATAGACTATCTCGTTTGACCCAAGGTCCCCAAGTAAACAAAGACACTAATATCAGGCAGGATATTCCAAGGATTTAGAAATTATTCCCAGGAGCCAACCAAGGGCCAAACCTTTCTTTGGAATGTGCAGGGTTAATCTTTCACCACACACTCTCCTACAAATCGGTAACATGGCCTGGCTGCATGCCTTACTTCCCATGTGTTCCAGGAAGCCCCAAACTGAGAAATGAACATCAAAAAGTGGTCTTAGACCTCTACTGCACTAAGAACACTGAGGAGAAGCAAGTTCTCAATGAATTTCTGAAAAGACCACCTCAATCCAAGCCCTCTGGAGATGAGTTCACAATTCACAGACACAAAACACAAGGAAATCATCCACCATGAGTGAAAGTCAGCAGATACAACAAACAGCAGAATTAGACCCCCTCCTGGGGGTGCTGAGATGATGACAAAATAGGCATGTTTAAAAAGACTAAAAACAAACAAAAAAGACTAGAAACACAAAAGAAGGAATTGTAGGAAGCAATGAGTGGGTAGATGGATGGTAGGTGGGTGGATGGATAGGTGGATAAATGGGTGGGTGGATGATGGGTGGGTGGGTGGATAAGTGGGTGGTGGGTGGATGGGTGGGTGGATGGATTGGTAGGTGGGTGGGTGGACGGATGGGTGGTGGGTGGATGGGTGGATAAATGTATGTATGGATGGATGTGTTTCAGAGCACACAGGTCCAGCTGCCTGTCCCCTTTCAAAAACAAACCACTCAAATCTCAAATGTTGGTGAAAATAGAAATCAGCTTTTTTTGGGCCGAGCCCGTGGCGCACTCGGGAGAGTGTGGCGCTGGGAGTGCAGCAGCGCTCCCGCCGTGGGTTCGGATCCTATATAGGGATGACCGGTGCGCTCACAGCGCTCACTGGCTGAGCGTGGTGCGGCTGGTCTCAAAAAGGACAAAAAAAAAGAAATCAGCTTTTTTTCAGGAATACCAGTGACCTGAGGAGAGATGTTGGGCTGACCCATCTCCACAATAAGCCTGAAGGAGAGTGGCCAGAGTACAGCCATCTCAAAGACTCAGGTCTACTGAGGGACATATATATATGTATGTGTGTATGTGTGTGTGTACTTTTTTATTTTGTGTGTGTGTGACTGGCTGGTACCGGGATCCAAACCCATGCCCTCAGTGTTACAAGCTGCACTCTGATCAGCTGAGCTAACTGGCCAGCCCTTGCTGAGGGTTTTTTTAAAAAGGGGCTGAGGGAATGGAATGTTGAAAATGAAGAGCGAAAGGGAGGGGCGTGAGCTTCGGGGGCTCCGTGCAGGGAGCCAGGTGCAGGGTCTCACCAGGACTCCGTCTGGTTCCTTTTTGTTTTTTTTTTTCCATCTGGTTTCTGCTCCTGTCCTTATCTCAGGGTCCTGCTGGATAGCATGTGCCTCATTGAGAGTGTGCAGCTCAGGCTGGCTGGAAAACAACTTTACATTTATGTAAATAATGTCATCTGGCCTCATAAGCAAGGTTCAAAATATCAAATGACTGTGGGAAAGAGGGAATTCAAAAATGCATGCCAAGAAAAAAACTGTGTCCTTTTAAAAGTTGCCTATATCCCAGGCAGTTTTAGGTTCCAACGTGGCTTGAGTCCTGCTCACTCCAGTGAATGGATGGATGGATGGACGGGTGGACAGATGGATGGATGGACGGGTGGGTGGATGGATGGGTGGATGGGTTGAGCCTCCCTCCAGTCTGACTGAGGGCACGTGTCCTCAGGGTCTGCTCTGCTGGGTCACCAGAAGGGAGGCCCCCTTCAGAGCCACACTTGGAAGGCCCAAGTAGGTGGTGAGCCTTGAAGAGGAGATGCCACTCTCAGCAGCTGGGTTAGAACATTCTTTTGGATTCCACACATGTGGAAGACATTTTTTATTTTTTAAAAAATAGCAGTAAGAACTTGTCCTTGCTTCTCTCTCTCCAGCATGTCCTGAGGCGACGTGAAAATAGAGAAGGTCATGAAAGAAGATTCCAGATGCTGAGAAACCTCTGTCAGACGCCCTCTGGCCCCAGAACTCATCCCATGTCATCCTAAGTCCCGAGAGCGCCAGTCTCTATCCATCTCTGAAACCCAGTGTCCTTTTTAGCTGCTTGAAAACATTTTTTTTTTTAAACGATGCAGTATTAGCGCAACCTGGAAAAGGGCCCGGGTCCCAGGCCTGCACCCTTCCACACTCACGAACTCACGGCCGAGGAAAGCGAGAAGGGGAGGGCGTGGCCTCGGTGGCCTCGGTCCCAGCTCCCAGCCCCCCAGCCTAGACACACTTCTCCCCAGCCCAGCTGTCCGTGGCCAGTGCTGGCCACAAGTTCAATACCCTTCTCTTGCTGGTTACCTTTCCCAGGGTGGAGCCACCGACACCCCCGGGCACTCTGGCTGGGTCTGGATTCGTTCCTGTGCCTTTCCTTCCAGAACGTGGCCCCTGCAGCTCCGGACCTCCGGCTGGAAGCTCAGCCCCCGGCAGGGCCAAACTTCCCGCCTCCAACCTCACACCTGTGGTTGTCCAAAACTGACACCCATGATTCTCCATCTGTCACCTCCCCTTCCTCTCTCATAAGACCCACCTTCCTTGGGAGCATCGAAGCCCATAGTACAAGTGAGATCAGCTGGTAACCATCCTTGTCCTAGCATTTTAAGACTACACCCCCTCCCCCCAGTCTAGAACTTTCTCAAGCCCCTTTAACTCAGATGCCGCTCCACAGGGCAATCCCAACCAATACCTCCTATCAAGGGAATGAACTGTGCCCACCTCACCAAGCCCCCACTCCCAGCACCAGGCCGGGACCTGCCCGCCAGGCTCCCACCTAGAGCGGAGGCTGAGGAGCCAGCTCTGAAATAGAGGGATCTGGAAAAAAGAATCAACGGGGCATGGGACAAGCAAGTGTTTCGAAGGTCCTTTGGACTGGTCCCACCTACATCCAAAGCTAGACCAATGGGTCCTCATTCACGAGGCACATCTCCCGTGGGTGAGGGAGAGACTTTCCAATGTGCTGCAGACACTGTCAAGTGGCCTCTAGAAGTAGTGAGCTCCCTGTCTCTGGAGGCATTTAAGAAAAGGCTGGATGGTGCTTGTAGAAAGTGGCCCCCAAGGTACCCTCTGATTCTTAGTGTCTCAGTGGCTATGAATCTGAGCAAACGTTGAGCGGGCACCTTCTCCAGGCCCCTGTTCCCGCCTCTGCAGCTGGCGTCTTAGCAAGCGCTGTTGAGGTTTGACTGAGCAGCCTCACAATTCAGGGTTCACATGTCAGATGCTGGCCACCTGGGACGACCAGGGGGTGCATTTGGGATTATCCCAACGACAGAAGGGAGCCAGGGCAGTTAGTGCTGAGGGGCAGAGATGTGCAACAATTTGCCGTGTGGGACAGGGTCTCACGCATTCCACCCCAAATGCCAGCAGCTCCCACCCTGAGAAAGGAGTGGTTTCTGAGTGGGCTTGAGCCTGCAAACCCCACCGTGGAGCTACTGGGCTGTACTGGGGACATCTTCTATATCGGCGTTGCCCTGGTGATGTTGGCACATTTGGAGGTCTGGTGGAGGTTTTTAATTGTGTTTCCCAAACGTAAAGGTCAACAATGGTGTCCCAGGGCCAGATGTGTCGCCTGCGGCCTGAAGCGGCAGAGACTGGTGGATGAGTCTCTCTTGGCTTCTCCAAACTTCCCCGCTGCCCAGGCCCACCTCCCCCTGGACCCACTCACGGCACCTCCTTTTACAAAAGGTGCTCTGGGAAAGTGCTCCTGGCTGTGGTGGCCAGCCCTTCCCAGAAGGCCCCAAGCTCCCACCCCAATGAATGGGGTCTCTGCTGAAGCCAAGACGACAGAATCCATTGGACGACTCTGAGCAGGGAGCCTCCGGCAGATACCAGCGAAGCCCAGCCACCATAGTTTGTCCCCCCGTGACCAAAGGCATGTTCCTCCAGCATGAATCTGTCTCCCCCATAGTCACAAGAACTCCTGGGCCTTGATCGTCATTGACAACTGGGCCCTCCTCCAAGTTGAAAAAGGAGCCAGGGAGAGGAACAGACTCATACTCAATCAGACAATTAATTGTCGAGTGCCTATAGTGGCGACGGAGTGACCAGTAAGGCCCCCTCCCACCCTCAAGGAGCCTGCGGGCCGAAGATCCTGGCCCCACAGGAAATTCCAGTGGGGTCCACCTGTTACGCCACAGCCCACCCACCGCCCCTTCGGATCACCAGCAGCCGTGGACGATGGGCAAGCAGAGCCGAGGACCCCAACTCAGCCACAGTGGACCCTCCAAAAAAAAGAGAGGTCCCTGATAAGGCAGGAGGCTGTGCCAGCAGGTGTGAGAAGTTTGAACAGCTCCGTCCGAGCAGGGCCACCGTTCCCAGGTGGGCTGCTCCACGCACTACTGAAAAGTTGGCTTTGCAATGGATGTGTATCTGGGGGGACAGTTTTGGCCAAAATGCAACAGACCCCAAGTCCTCGTCATCAAGTTGTGTTGGATTTCTCTCTCGTGACACATGGTTGTGCCCTAGCCCCTCCCCCAATGTCACAGTTCACATGCTCATCCTTCTGACGACAAGTTTTGAAATTTTTAAAAACAGAAACAGCATTATGGTTACTGTTGGGGTGTTAAGACATCATCTCCATGAGCTTTGGGGGGTTTTATGTGAAATAAACTATAAGTTAAAGGGGAGGTTTGTGTCTTTTGTCCATTTGCAAAGGGACGTGGCGCCAGGCTTTTGCTCTGGTCACCCATCTGCAGTGTAGGGGGCTGGCCGGGCTCTTCCTGAGGTCCCCTCCGGCTCTGCCTCTCTGTCATTCAGGCTCCTTTCCTGCCCCCAGGCCTCTCTGGAATCAAACCTATCCAGCAAGTGACAATAATAATGACAATAAAATAGCAGTAGCAGCCTGTGCCCAACCTGGCACAATCCCCATGCTACCGAGAGGGAGACTGAGGCCTGCAGAGGAGACCTGGCTTGCCCACAGTCAGACAGCGAGTAAGGGGTCTGAGGCCTGACCTTGTGCCCTGTAGCGAGTGACCACCCTGTCGCGTTGCAAGGGACTCTCATCCCTCCGCCAGCTGCAGAAGAATTGGGGGACTGTGCTCCTGGAGGGGTCAGAGTCGAACCTCCCACGTCAGGGTCAAGAGTCATCCACTTCTGGGGACTTTGGGACCTGCTAGTGACAAAGATACCAAGGCAAATGTCACATGTCACTGTGCAATGTCACGACTCAGTTGATGGCAGGAACAGGCAGGTATGATCCCACCTGGCTATACACTTCCTCCCTTCTCTGACATCAGACGAGGTGCCTTTCCCAGATGAGGTGTCCAGGCAAGCAGGTGGCCACAAGGGGAAAGGGCAGAGGCTGCGTGGGGGTGGGGGGAGCTGAGGAGGTGCAGCTGGTTCGGGGACCAGGGACAGCTACTCAGTTTGGGGGTGATGGCCCTACCCTTTTCTCCCGTCCTGCTGAGTCTCTGATTACCCTAAGGGATTTCTCGAAAACCTCACTCCTCATTCATTCATTTTCGGGCACTGGGCGTCCAGCGCCTCGTGTTGCTCCCAGCCCAAGGGGGGAGCTCGAACCAGGGAACCAGGGCCTCGATGGGGACCGGGAGGAAGGGCCTTCTCTGATCAGAAACCCGGAGAGGAAGCAGCAGTCAGCCAGGCCAGCAGGAGGAGGGGTGTCCCCAGCAGAGGGACCAGTAAGGACAAAGGCCTGGAGGGAGAACAGACAGGAGAGGCAGGGCCAGCAGGGACACCAGAGAGAGGCCTGGGCCAGATCAGGCTGCCGAGGGTGTTTCAGCAAAACCCAGAGCTACGTGAAGGGCCTGGTCACTTTTTCTTTTTCTTTTTCTTTTTTTTAAAGATGACCGGTAAGGGGATCTTAACCCTTGACTTGGTGTCAGCACCACGCTCAGCCAGTGAGCTAACCGGCCATCCCTATATGGGATCTGAACCCGTGGCCTTGGTGTTATCAGCACCGCACTCTCCCAAGTGAGCCACGGGCCAGCCCCTGGTCACGTTTTTTTAAATTCAGGTGAAACTCACATAACATAAAATTAACCATTTTTAGTGGTACATTGAGTGGCATTTAGCACATTCCCAATACTGTGCAACCACCATCACTATCTAGTTCCAGAACATTCCATCACCCCAAAAAGCAACCCTGTCCCCATCAGCAGTCACTCTTCATCCCCTTCCCCAGCCCCAGCCACCACGAGTCCACTTTCTGTCTCTGTGGATTGGCCTGTTCTGGACATTTCATGTAAAGAGAATCACGCACTGTGTGGCACTATGGCCGCTGTTTAATACCCTTGGATGTGGGTATGTTTGGGGACCGATGGGTCTGCATCTGGAGCCCCGTGCTTCCCCACACTTGCCCCAGCTGGGGTGGGATGACCCAGAGAGCCTCCCAGAGGCCTCCTGCCAGGGCCTTTATCTGGGCACAGGCCATGTGCCCCACGAAGAGGCAAGAGACTGAGCAAGAGGTTGAGCCCAGGAGCTGGGCCTTACCTGCCTGCCTGCTGGACACCAGTGGTGCTCAAAGGTCACAGACCGGGCCACCCTGCCACCCTGCCAAAGGAGGAAACCAAGGCCCAGAGACGGATAGAGCAGTGACTCAGCCAGGGTTTTTACAAAGCTCCCCATGGAGAGGGGGCTATGGGCAGAAGTGACCGGGAGGCCAGGGAAGCTGGGCAGGGACCCAGGCCAGCTCTGATGGGGAGGGGGAGAAAAGGGCAGACGCAGAATGGAATGTGGGAGCCAGGGACTTCGTTAAACACTGAGCCAAGAAGGGCTGTATCCATCTCCTGTGGCTGCTGTCAGTGTCACCAGGCCAAAACCCAGGTGTGGCCTCACTCTGGCGGCTCCAGGGGATGATCCATCCCTGCCTCTTCCTGCTTCTGTTGGCTGCCGGCGTTCCTTGGCTTGTGGCCACATCACTCCAAATTCTGCCTCTGTTTGCCCACAGCCATCTCCACTGTGTCTGTGTCAGATTTCCCTCTGCCTTCCTCTTTGAAGGAGCCCAATCACAACAGCTAGGGCCCTCCTGGACAATCCAGGAGGATCTCCCCAACTCAGGACCCTTAATTTAGAATCCCATCTGCAAGGGTGGCCAGTTAGCTCAGTTGTTTAGAGCGTGATGCTAATAACCAAGGTCCAGAGTTCAATCCCTGTACCAGCCGGCTACCAAAAAAATAAATAAAACCTGTGAAGTCCCCTTTCACAGATTCCAGGGATGAGGACATGGACATCTTTGGGAGCCATTAGTAAGCTCACAAAGGGGCCATCTACTGAAAACAGCATGTGCAAAGGTCCCGTGGCCACTGCTCTGGCTGCTGAGGAGCAAGTAAATGGTAGGTAAGGGCAGGGCGTTCTCAGCGATCACCACCAAGCCTCCATTGGAAGTGCCCCTGGCTCCTGAGCCAGGGCAGTGGGGGGCCGAGGGCTTCAGCCACACCCCCTGACATTTGCATGCAGCCCTGCAATGACCAAGTTGCCGCTGGAAGCCCCCTGGCCTCCCCTGCCCAAATGAGGGGGATGCCACGGGCCTCAACCACACTCCCATCCTTCCTCCTCCTCCCACCCTATTTCTCTCTCCCTTCCCCTCTCCCCCCCAACTGTTCCACAACATCTTAGAATGTAAAAAAAAAAAAGTAATGCAAATAAATAAATAAATGAAAAGGTCAGGGCTTTCTCTCTCCCTCTCTCTTCCCACATCCCTTCACAAATCCTCCTGGGAGTGGGGGCCCAAACCCAAAAGACAGCTCCCTCCCTGTGTTTGGGGTCCGCTGTCCCCCAGGGAGAGCTGGGTTGCTTGTCGAGCAGGTGGGGCTAACCCCACCCCGCAGACAGAGTCCTGGCTCAGGCCCAGGTATAGCAATAAATGACTCCATTGCACAGGTGAGAACACCGAGGCACAGAGTGGCCAGGGCAGAGCCAGAGCTCACCCTGGTGGCAGGTGGCCAAAACAAGATTCAAAGCCTGGATTCCTTAAAAGACTATTAATGTCTTCCTCTCTTTTTTATCTGTGTGAGGCTGGGTTTTCTTCCTGTACGGCAACCAAAACAACTTATAGAAACAGGTTGAACAAAGAAACAGATGTGAAGGGCTGGCTGGTGAGCTCAGTTGGTTAGAGGTGGTGCTGATAACACCGAAGTCAAGGGTTCGATCCCTGCACTGGCCATCCATCCAAAAAAATAAGCAGATATGAGAGTCCAGCAGTCTTCTACTAAGCCAGACATTGCAGAATTTGCAAAAATGAAGACCAGTGTCACTCTTCTACCTAAATTAATTTTTTTGGCTTACGCAGTATGAATGTATTCTCTCACAGTTCTGGAGGTCAGGAGTCGGACATGGGCCTCACTGGCCTAAAGTCAAGGCCTGGGCAGGGCTGGTTCCTCCTGAATCCTCCAGAGGAGGACCCGTGTCCTCCTTTCCCAGCTTCTAGAGGCGCCCGCAGCCCTCGGCTGGTGGCCCCTTCCTCAGTGTTTGAAGCCAGGAACACAGCATCTTTCTGACCTTTCTGCAATAGTGCATCTTCCCTCTCTGACTCCAGCTGGGAAATTTTCTCTACTTTTTAAGTATAATTGACGTGAAATTCACATTATATGCAATTAACCATTCTAAAGTGAACAATTGAGGGGCAATTAGTGCATTCAGAATGCTGGGCAACGTCCACCTCTGTCTAGTTTCAAAACTTTTTCATCACCCCAGAGGAACATCCCACACCCTATAAGTAAAAATTCTCAAGTTCCCCCTCCCCCCAGCCCCTGGCAAACTACTAATCTGATTTCTGTCTCTATGGATTTCCCTGTTCTGGTTATTCACAAAAAAGCAGTGATGTGATCTTTTGAGTCTGTGTTCTTTCTCTTAGCATAATGTTCTCTAAGTTCATCTAAGTTGTAGTATCATCTTCATTTCTTTTCAAAGGTGAGTAATATTCCACTGCATGGACATACCACAATGTGTTTATTCATTCATCGGGTGATGGACATTACGCTACTATAAATCATGCTGCTATGAACATTCATGTATAAGTCCGTGTGGGTGTTGTATTTTCATTCTCTTGGGTAAATACCTAGGAATGGAATTGCTGGTCATATGGTAGTTCTTGGTTTAACTTTTTGAGAAATTGCCAAATTGTTTTCACAGCAGTACACATTTCACATCCCCACCAGCAACGTATGAGGGAGGGTTTCTATTTCTCCACATCTTCACCAACATTGGTATTTTCTGTTTTTTTAATTCTAGCTATCCTAGAGGGTGTGAAGGGGTGCCTCATTGTGGTTTTGGTTTGTATTTCCCTAATGACTAATGATGTCAACATCTTTTCATGTGCTTATTGGCCATTTGTATACCTTTGGAGAAATGTCTATTCAACTCCTTTGCATATCGTTAAATTGTTATTGAGTTGTGAGCATTCTTTATATATACTGGATACTCAACCCTTATCAGATATATGATTTGCAAATATTTTCTCCCATTTTCTGGTTTATCTTTTTACTTTTTAAAAGATGACTGATAAGGGGATCTTAACCCTTGACTTGGTGTTGTCAGCACCACGC